ATTCTTCGAATGAGAGGTCTTACTTTACAACGATTGGACTCAAACAAGAGTTGCACAGTAGAGCCAAACCTAACCCTCTAAAATTATTTGGTTCACATAACATGTAACTTGGCGTATTCGCCCACTAGTTAACTGAAGTTAGTTAGAACTCCTAGAAGCACAAAGCAAGCAACATTCAGGCTTCGGGTAACAAAGCAACCATACCCTAATCAGACCATCCTATTACTGAAAGATAAGCACTAACATGCATGTCTACAAGCTCATACAGTAGGCATTCAAGGCATCTCTCCTAGCATTCTATCATGCAAAATTTGAGTAGATCTCTAGCCTTAACTAGCATGCAATCCACATATTCATAACTCAATTCATAGCAGATAATAGGTATGGGTATCTTGAGGAAAACTTACTTGAGCTCGGCCGATTACACGCATCACACGTATGGTCTTTTATTAAAATTCTTAATTCATAAAAGAAATGTTTTTCTCTTGAAAATCTTTCAAACCCTCGATTTGAGTTCAAACACACCCGAGAGTATGTCTGAATCCATCAAACCAAGGCTCTGATACCAACTTGTAACATCCCAAAAAATACAACCCAAAAAATTTCATTTAAATTTTACCAAATTCATAAACACAAAACATCATTGATTCCAAAACCATGAGAACACAAGATAGTTATAGTGTATAATCAAGACAATTCGTAGAAAACATTATCAGAGCATAAGTCCCAAAATCTCTACTGTGGAAAATCATAGTATGATGCGACGCGATCAAGCCGGCCCCTTCCCCTTCGAGCTGGAAGTACCTGACACATAAACCGAAACAGTAAGCACAAAGCTAAGTGAGTTTTCCCCCCACCATACCACATACAACACAAACATACTGTCAGACATATCTTAGTGCCCGACCTACCCTGCCGAGCATATCTGGGTGCTCGACCTACCCTGCCAGGCATATATGGGTGCCCGACCTACCCTCCGGTCTATTTCAACCGGTTACGGGGTCTATTTCACCCCTACCACTACCAATTAATAACATACATAAATCACATGATCATCAAGCAATTCGTGAATAATGATAATTATCACATAGACAATCATCATACTATGCAATAAATGAAGGGCCGGCCTTGGTGCCTTCGACCCGTAACATTCATGAAGGGAGACGCACCTCAAACTGTGGGTGTAATAACGTACTCGACGAATGACTCGTGAACTCCTACCCCTATCGCACATCATAAATTTCTAATTAACTAACAAATTATGACTCTAACCCTAATTCACGTCTTAAGGCAAAGATTTTCCTAATTCTTGCCTTATTGGGCCTTTTCCCCCTAAGGAACAATTTCGAACAGCCCAAAAGTGCCCAAGCCCAAACAATTAAATTCTAAGCCCGAACGGTCTTCATCCACAGATGGGCTTGGGGCCCAACAAGCCAATCCCCAACAAATCAAGGCCCAACAACCATCTTTGCATTCTGCATGTGTACGCGCGGCGTACTCTGCATGTACGCCCAACGTACGCTGGTCTTGACCTGACTCGGGTGGTTGACCCAGTACGAGTAGTGTACCAGGGAGTACGCCTAGCGTACTGGCCAGCCAACCCAAGAACCCTCTTTTGACTTAATCCATTAAGTCCTCACGTCCAGAATGTAGATCCAGGTCCCTAAGAACGTCCTAAGTCATAAAGTCATAAACTTTATGCTTTTGCATGCATGGATGGGGATTAAGACATAAATTAAGTCCTTATAGACACTTAGTTGGTACCTAGCACTTGCATGGTTGAGGCTAAACCATCAAGGTCCGATTTTTATGCCTCTTAACACTTCCAAGAGCCAAAAAGGACAGCTCATAAGGACTGAAAACTTATTTACTCAAAGGACCTCAACTATGGGACCAAAATATAACATAAAACACCCTAAAACTAGATCTAAGCATGCAATGGTCAAGGTTTAAGCTTTATTCCTCAAATAGGTCAGAAATTGTGCCAAACTTTTGGATCTACAAGCCCTCTTCACGTCCTTGCTTCTTCTCTAAACTCCTTCCTCTTCAACACCACCAAATAACACAAAAAATGCACAAGATAAGCTCAAAATGCATGCAAGAGGTCCAGGGTTCGATTCTAACACTCTAAGGGTGATGCAGGCTGAGAGAATGAGGGTTAGGAGGGACATAAGGTCTTTAAATAGGGTGTAAACACTAAAATTTAGGGTTTGCTTCTGGCCAGACTACTCCCAACGTACACATGGGTACGCTCAGTGTACGCAGGGGCTTCCCCCGATTCACTCCTCACCCATGTACGTCATGTGTACACTATGTACACCCAACGTACGGCCCTGTCCCATATTAAAATTATCTATCAATTTTATAAGCAGCAAAAGAAGATACTTGGCAACTCGGGCATTACACATAAGTCAAGAAATCTATCATGCAACTACTGAAGATCCTAGCCTATAAACTAGCATGAATTTCTAACATATCATCAATACACATCAATAAGAGTGGGTATCTTGGGAAATAACTTTCCTTGGGCTTCGGCTGATTGTACACATCGCATCCTCTCCTTTGATTATTTTAAAATAGCCTTAATTATGAAAAATATTTGTAGATCCATAGTTTGAGTGTGGAGTCACACAAGTGTTCATCCAATTCTCTCAAACCAGTGCTCTGATACCAACTTGTAACATCCTAAAAACCATGAATTTTTTTTTCTTTTTTAAAAAACACTTTCATAAAACCATAAGATTGTCAACCATTGTTTTCAAAACAAAACCATAGAAATCGGTATATCAAAATAATCTCTCAACATAAAATCAATAGGAGGAGGTGTATGATCACGCCTTCGCCTTGCTCCGATTATCTGAAGAACCCGAAAACTTTAAAATCAACAATTGTAAGTAAAAGCTTAGTGAGTTCCCCCAAAATACCCGACACAACAATACATATATGATGCATGCACATTGGGCCCACATCATAAGACTGGACTACCCCCGAACCCACAACATGAAACTGGATTGCCACTCCCCGGGCCCTCAGCTTATGACTTGCTTGCTCCCGAGCCCACAACATTAGACTAGAATGCCCCTCCCGGCCCTCAACATATGACTAGATTGCTCCCGGGTTTGCTGGCTTACAGCACAAAACAATACCACCTCAACCCAACCACACTATGTCGACATATGCAAACAATAATCAATAACAAGCAAATACAGATAATCATACATATCTACCAATCTAACTAATCACTAAAGTATACCAATATCCTACACACAAGGACACATACTACAGTATAAAGTATAGTGAGAAAACTCACCTTGCAGACTAAAAGATAATAGCACTGATCATAGATCTAAAAACCGGTACTATAGGTCACATATACAACAAACAGGGACCATGACTCAAACTACAGCCCAAAATCCTTATTTGACCTAAAGTCAAACTTAGTCAAAGTCAACAGTCAACGATCAAAAGTCAACTCAGATGGATGCCACGTTATGACCAATCCTTGCCACGTTGTGGCACCCTCACGACAAAATAGTCACGAAACTGCATAACGCCATGACATGGAGGCCAATCTTCATGTCTTGGGAATCGCCCAGACTAGCTTATTGCATTAAGCTCTTACTCCCTCAAGCCATCCATCCATACTTTCCAGAATGCATTCATACACTTAAAACATCATAAAAATCGTTGCTTTATACACATGCTTGTCCAATGCATGTCTTGAACTCAAACTTGGTCAACATGGTGTAAAATGGGGTTCAAATCTCATATAAGTAACCAAAACTCAATAACTCTCTAGATCTATAACACCAAACCCCAAAATGACCTCAATAATTCATAAAGTTGCTAACTTTATGAGATGTATTCATCTAAATTTTCCCAATCATGAAACTACTAGCATGAAAGCCTACATCTAGAAGTTTAATGCATAAAGGTTGAGCTTGGACACTTACAATGGTCCAAAACAAGTACATAAATATAATGAAGATAGTTGCTTGTTGAATCAATGCCCAAGGATCACCTTCTTTTTCTTCAAAACACCAAAAATTACCACAAAACTCAAGAACTTCAATAATAGAGGCTAGGGTTTCAAGGAGGGGGGAAGGGAGGTGATGGAGGTTGAGGGTTTCAAGAACTTCAATAATGGAGGCTGAATCAATGCCCAATGATCACCTTCTTCTTCTTCTTCAAATTTCGACGATATACAAGGTTTAAGGATGGAGATAGCCCTGATAAATAAAAATCTTGAAAATTACTTGGTATTTGCCAAGAAACAAGAAGTCAACAAAGAAAAATCCAATAATTTGAAATTTCTACTTCAAGATGCGACTCATTACACATTGACAGAAGGTGCCTTTGTTTTGGTGGTGAAAGCCAAAATTAAAATATTAAAAAATATATATAATTTATAACTTTTATCTTTTCTTTTTTATTAATATGTTTTATATTATGTATTAGGTGTTTTTTTTTAATTAATGAAAGTTTTAGGTTTTATATAAATTAAGTTGTTTAAAATATATAGCATGACAATTCATTTCCAAAGAAGTGTGACATGCGATGGAAAGCTGAGATGGCGAAAAAACGGAGTGACAAAAAGGAAATTTGGGGAGTGAAGATGCGGGCCCCACTATATAGATAAACGATATTTGTATGAGCACAAGACAAATTTTGGGACTTAAATAGATACTAATAAATTGCCATTTTACTATTCTTCGAATAATCTTTACGTATAAGAACACAATTTCTTATTGAAACGACAAGAACGCAAAAATAATAATAATAATAATAAATAAGTACTTATAGTATCAATGTCCTTTATATACGAGTCTAGTAGATATATATAAAATAGTAAATTACTTGTCGATTAAATTTGTAATGATCAAAATGAAGACAAATTTACAAGATATAAATGGGATAGTAATGCACCATCAACCTTTTTATTCATTTCATCTAAATAACTAAAAGAATATAATAACTTCATTTTCAACAATATAAAAATCATCCTAAGTTCTAACGTTTTTGATCATGCAATGTTTTTCCTTCGAAAAATTCAGCCAACATTCGCTCAATATCCTCCGGCGTTAACTTTATGTATTTTGACGGATTTTTACCACCCTCAATCATAGGCCTGCGTAATTAATAACAGCACAAAAAATACATAATTACACAAAATAAAAAACCACCCATCTCCAAAATTATTAAAAAAAAAAGTTTAATGCTAAAAAAGGGTATAAAACTTTTCCTTTTGTCCACAATAGGTTACTAAACTGATCTCAAAACGCAATTTTTTTGTTCTAAAAAATTACCCGCCATAACCTTTTGGGCGGTTTTAATACTTATCGTCCAAATCAAAATATAATTTTTTTTTTTAAATAATTATTTATTTTAGTGTAAATTACAAAAATGTTGTTGATTTTGCCATTTTGGTACCAAAAAGTTTTTGCTTGCAATTTTAATCCTATATGATGATTTTGTAACGATTTGGTCCTAAAAATCATTTAAAGGGTAACATAGTCATTTTTTACTTAAAACATGAACCAAAACTTTACAAAAACCTCAAATAACAACCAAAACTGCAATAGAAAACTTTTTGAGACCAAATTTTGCAAAAAAACAGTTAGCTAAACCCTGGGACCACCCACCCTGCCAAGGTGGGTGGTCTCTAAGTTTAACCGGTTTTTGCAAATTTTGGTTTTAAACAGTTTCCTATTGCAGTTTTGGTTGTTATTTGAGGTTTTTGTAAAGTTTTGGTTCATGTTTTCAAGTAAAAAATGACTATATTACCCTTTTAACGATTTTGGTCAAAAAAAAAAAAAAAAAGTTTGACTTTCAAGACCCAAAAAGCTTTTAGTGACCTAGGGTGGTTTATACACAAGTCAAAATTTTAACCCAAAAAAAATAAAAAATAAAAAACAAAAAAATACCCGAATCTTTTTTTAAAAGATCTATAAGCGGGCAAAAGGACTTCAGCAACCGCGAGTCTCAAAGACTCACGTAACTCACTATCGGGAACACTCCATTGAGATTGCCTTTGATGCAATTCCTCAAATTGATTATTAAAAGTTTTGAATCTTTCTTTTACTGTTGCCCTTGAAACACCCGCGGTGCTTGTCCCATCATTGCCTGCCACCTGTACTGTCAGACACTGTAATATCTGCAAAATTGAAAAAGTAACAATAATTAGCATCGTACTTTCATAAAAAAAACAATTTTTATTTTTATTTTTCTATTTATAAAAGTTTAAGAAACCTTAGACCAACAAATTCTCTTGTATTGGTTTGCATGTTGTTGTACGACTCTTCGGTGGATTTGTACCCAGTCATCTCCTAACATTTCCTTTGCTTCTGACCTAAATGCAAGAAATAACAATGTATTTTTATTTATTTGTGTATTATAGAACCCAACTTCTTATTAGGACATTATACTTTGATTTATTTTTTTCATTTATAGCATTGTACTTTTATTTTTTTTTTCTTAGGGTTAATAAACTTTTTTGGTACCTGAGTATAACTGAATTTTTCAAATTTGGTCCCAAAAAGTATACAACATTGTACTTTCACTTTTTTTTTTCTTATAAAAAGTATACTTTCAAAAAACTTCTTATTAGGAGTTTAGAACATCATACTTTGATTTATTTCTTTCAGTTATAGCATTGTACTTTCATTTTTTTCTTTAGGGTAAATTACACTTTTTGGTACCTGAGTATAACTGATTTTCAAAATTGGTCCCAAATTTTTTTTAAATTCCAGTATTGTACTTTCAGTTTTTTAATTACAAGAACCTCTAAAAGAACCAAAATTGCAATAGAAAGATTTTTGAGACCAAAATTGCAAAAATCAGCTATACTCAGGGACCAAAAATGTAATTTACTCTTTTTCTTATTAAGGCATATTATACTTTAAAAATTCTACCCAATTATAGCATTCAAAATTGCTTTACATTTAACTCGAACGATTATTAAAAACTAAAAGGTCAAATTATAATTATACCTTCGTACAGATCTAACAATGTAATGAATATTATTCATCATAAATATTTGAGTCAAAGCTTGATCTTTATACTGCTTAGATTTTCCATCCAAATTATTTTGTAAAGCTTGCATTATTCTTCTTGTTATTTTTGCCAGCTGTGCATCTGGATCGATTTGTTCAAACTCTAGAAATAGTAGCTTCAATGTTGACTGATAACTGCATCATAAACACATCATACTACAAAATTGCAAAAATAGAAAATGATTTTTTTTTTTATTTTTTTTTTGTAGAAAAGAGAAATATTAGTGGACTTACTCAAATAAGAATTTGACATAATTAATAACATAACTAGTCAAAGGATGAACAGTTCCATCAAGAACAGCAGTTTTAGTGGCATCTTTTTCAACAGCTTCTTCAAAATCAACAAAAGTTTCTTGAGCTGTTTCAGCTAAACGTTTTGTTAAAGCAGAAACAGATTCTCTCATTTCAGCTCCAGATATACTTTCATAAAGGGTATTAAACTGTCAAAAGATGTAATTGATTGTAAAAATAATAGTATGAAATAATAAAATAAATGAAAAATGAAAAGTTATATATATATATATATATATATATATATATATATATATATATATATATATGTTAATAGTTAGTACCTCTGGTTGAACTTCTTTCATTATCTCATACATGTCAAGAAGAACAAATAACTTTTCAGGTGACCTTTTGCTTTTGGCTATGGCTTCCCCAAAACTTAGAAGTAAAGAAACACTGGTTGAAGTTGCTTCTGCAAAACATTGGTCCATGAAAGATTTCATTCCTTCAAAAACTTCATCAGATACTTTCCTTTCTGCAGCAAATAGTAGTTTTACCTGTTTAGTTACAATAAATGTTAGATATATCATATCAATATGATGTCATATATGGTTGTTTTGTAAATTCTTACAGCAATTCTCACGAAATGAATCCAATTTCCTATTTTAGCCTCGAGAACCTCCCACTGCATCCTTTGGACATCGTCTTTATGGAGCTTTTCTACTCCAAGTTTTCTAAGGCTGCTTTCCATACATGCAGATCGTGCTTCCCTGAAGATAAACAGTCATATTATGAACAGTTTTTGCTGATATCAGAATGGGGATTCATGAGAAGGCATATATAAAATGGAAAGTAAAAAGATCTCACCTGTAAATCATAAATACTTGCTGTTGATGGCCAGCTTGATGCATTTGTTGAGCTAGATCATGCAGCAATGGTGTAACTTGAGGTGGGATGAGAGTGGGAGGGCGATAAACAACATTTTCTAAATCTTTATGGTGATCTGCAGGATTTTTCCTGACACCTTCACCATGAGCAGTTGGTGGTGTTGGTCGAAGAGAAGCAGGTAGGCAGTCTAAAAGACGATCAGGTTCCACAGGTTTACTGTAACAATGGCGGAATTTGAGCAAGGTTATTAGGGAAGAATTAGAAGTTACATGAGCTGAATAAAGAAAATTTGTAAAATTGAGACCTGTATGACGATAATAGCTGACGGAATTCGTCTTCAAGCATCATGGAAGCTTTTTGAAGCAAGGTTGTGGCATGTGTAATCACTCCGATACTGGTCTTGAGGTTTTTATTTGTACTAAAAAATCGAACGATGGTTTTCAGCTGACCAACTGCTTCTAGATAACTCTGCAAATCTTCTTGTGGACCTTTCAGAATCACAGCCTCCGCCTACACATTCAGAATATAGACATTTTTTTGGGGGATTTTCGATATCGGAAAGAGTAAAGCGACATGATCGATCATATATCGAGGAAATACGGAAGCAACCTGTTTAGTAAGCTCAAATTGGATCAAAATTGCATCGGCGAACTTCAATGTCTTATCGATGTTCTCATGTGCCTTCCTCATTGAATGCGTTTTCACCTGCACAAAAATGAAACCATGGTGAATTTCAAAATGCATTCAACAGAGAAGAGATTGAATTAAGGAAGGTGAAGAGTGAGAAATGTAAAACCTGGGTCGGGCGCATGGCGGTTTCGAGGGCAGAGAGGCGGAGATCGAAGGAGCCGAGGATGGAGGTCATGCTGTCGGTGATTATCTGACTCCTTGCGAGACAATCCCTCATTGTAACAGCCCTATCACGTAGGGTTTCCATGGTGATTTCATTAAACCCAGTTGTTTTCTCATTTCGTTTGTTCGTTTCCATTCAAGGTTTTGATTGGGAGGTTGGAACACGCAATGGGAGAATGAAGGAGCCAGCCTTATTGCCTTATATACCTTCCTGGTGGTAATCCCTTGGGTTGGACGCTTTGAAAAAAAAAATCTTATTTTTACATTTTTTGATCGATCTTGTATAAAAATAAATCAATTTAGATCATATATTAATTCTGGTAAATTTATAGTTTAATAATTTTATTTTATTATCCAAACATATAGTCAGGCATATAAAATTTAATGATTTGTAATATTTAACCATTATAGATCAATATCAATACACTTTTAAAGGAAAAAAATATGTTACAGAAGTAAAATGTGAATATTGTTACATAATTTGTTTTTGTTTTAAATATATATTGATATTGATTTATAATTGTAAAAAATAAAGAATTAGTATTAAGTTTGAAACTTGTTACATAATAAACAAATGTTAAACAAATAAAAACAAAAACAAAAAATTATTATTATTATTATTATTATTATTATTATTAAACTATAAATGCTCGGTTCTTATAGTCCTTAACATTTTGTGTTTTCTATTTAAAATTTTCACTATCTCAAATGAATCAAATACATAAAATTGGAGAATATTTGAATCGCTACTCATATTATTTGTTTCTTTAGGAATTTAAATAAACAAATAATTTTATTTATTTATTATTATTATTATTATTATTATTATTATTTTTTGGGAAATTGAGTAAACTAACTAAAATAGGATGCCTAGTTTTTTTCCTTGGAAATTGAGCATACTAGTTTTTTTCCAGAAAATTGAGTAAATTAGATTGAATCCTTTAAATAATACAACAAGATAAGGAAATAACAAAGTTTCCTAAACTATAAATTACACAAAATCAAAACAAATCATTTTATGCTATTACCCCCCCCCCCCCCCCCCCAAGAGAAGTAGGGGAAGGACCAACACGAAGCTTGGTGCGAAAATCCTCAAACAAAGGTCTTGGAAGACTTTTTGTGAAGATACCGGCTAACTGTAGATGTGAAGAAACAAACTTGGTCGAAAGTTTGCCAGATAAAACAAGCTCGCGAACAAAGTGATAATCAATGTTAATATGTTTAGCACGTTTGTCAGCAATAGGATTTTGACTTAAGAACAAATCACTTTTATTATCACAGAGAATGGTCGGTCGTGAGGGACGAAAGATGTGAAGTTCTTTGAGAGGATGTGTGATCCAGATAATCTTAGCAGCAGTGTTGGCCAAAGCTCTATATTCTAATTCACAACTGGAACGAGAGACCGTAGGTTGTTTCTTAGCACTCCAAGATACCAAATTTCCACCAAGAAAAACCGATTGGCCATAGGTAGAACATCGTGTCTCGATAAATCGAGCCCAATCAGCATCAGAGTACCTAAGAATGTTGGGTGAAGATGCATGATGAAATGAAAGACCATAAAATATAATGCCTTTAACATAACGTAAGATACACTTGACTGCTTGAAAATGGTCTTGTGTTGGTAAATGAAGAAACTGACTGACTTGATTGACAGTATAAGAGAGATCAGGTCGAGTAATAGTCAGATATTGAAGAGCACCAACTAAGGAGCGATAAAGTGTAGGGTCGGAAAAAGGAACACCTTGAGTAGTAAAATAATATGATGTGGAAAGAGGAGTGGCTACTGGTTTAGCATGAAGAAGTTTGGCACGAGTAAGAAAGTCATAGGCATATTTAGACTGACTTAGGAATAAACCAGAGTCAGAATAGGAGACCTCCAAACCAAGAAAATAGTTCAAGCGACCAAGATCGGTAATTGAAATTTCCTTGTTGAAACGAGATATAAAATTTCGAATTGTTGTGCCATTATTCCCAATTAGAATAATATCATCAACATAGACCAATAGACAAAAGACATGAATCCCGTTTAAAAATAAACAATGAGGTATCCGCACGACTACAAGAGAAACCAAGCTGAACCAAAAAACCACTCAACCTTTGAAACCAAGCCCTGGGAGCTTGCTTTAAACCATACATAGCAAATTTTAACCAACAAACATAAGTGGGAAATCGCACATCAATGAAGCCTGGTGGCTATTCCATGAAGAAAGTATCGGTAAGATTTCCATTCAAGAAAGCGTTTTTGACATCAAGTTGATAAAGTGACCATTTGTTAAGAACCACTAGGGATAAAATAGTGCGTACAGTTAAAGCTTTAACAACTAGACTGAAGGTAACATAATAATCCAAGCTCGGTACTTGAGTGAAACCTTGAGCAACTAAACGGGCTTTGTATTTTTCAAGTGTACCATCAGCATGAAATTTGGTGTGAAAACCCTATTTAGAACCGACCACATTAGAAGTGGGAGGACAAGGAACAAGATCATGGGTGTCATTTTTGCATAAAGCAGACATTTCATCACACATAGCTGAGTACTAAGTTGGATGCTTGGCAACTGATTTGAAACCTTTAGGTTCTTTTGAGGAGAACAATGCATGATGAAAAGAAGAGTGCACCAATTGAGAAACAGCAACAATGTGTTTAGGTGTGAAAATACCCGATTTAGCTCGAGTTTGCATCGGGTGCATGTTAGAAGATGGAGTAAGTGGTGTCTGGTGATCGATAGGAGGAGAAGGAGGCGGAGTTTGTTGTTCAGCAGTTGGAGAAGACGATGCCTGTTGTGGCCCATCAGATGGAGGAACCGAGTGTACACATAGCTCACAAAGATGGGGAGTCTGCCGGAGGTGATGACATAGACGCATCATCAGAAGGAGGCGATGGGGGCATAGTCATGGAAGACCCATCACAATATGTAGAAAAAATGAGTCGGGCGTCGGGTTCAGTAATAGAAGAGTCTAAGAAGGGAAAAATTGGCTCGTCAAATTAAACACGACAGGTAGTGTAAATCTGACATGTTGATGAATCTAAACAACAATATATTTTGTATTGGGAGTTATAGCCCACAAAAACACATGGAGCACTACGAGGTACTAATTTGTGAGAAGAATAATCCTGGAGATAAGGATACACACCGCAACCAAAAACCCAAAAATTTCCATAATTTGGTGTAGCTGAGAACAACGATTCATATTGAGAGAGGTCATTCAAGAGTGATGTAGGTAACCGATTGATGATATATGTTGTGGAAGAGAAAGCATAAGTCCAAAGAGAAGCAGGAACATTTGCATTAAACATCATTGATAAATCGGTCACTGTAATATGTCGATGTTTTCTTTCTGCACGGGTGTTTTGTTGAGGCGTATATGGGCAAGACAACATGTGATGAGTGCCATTTTGAAAAAAATAAATAACGAACATGATTATTAACAAACTCCATACCACCATCAGATTGAAAAACCTTGAGTTTGCAAGAAAATTAGGTTTATACAAAAGTGACAAATGTACGGAGAACATCATATAAGTCAGAATTCAATTTTAAGGGATAAAACCATGAAAACTTGGAGAAGTCATCAACAAAAAGAACATAATATCGATATCCATCCTTAGAAGTAACATGAGATGGTCCCCACAAGTCACAGTGTACCAAATCCAACACATGAGATGCACGTTTATAATTTAGATTGAAAGGAAATCGTTTGCTTTTAGATAATTGGCATGATGAATAAACATGAGGATTCGGTAAAAGAGATGTAACAGATAAGTAACCCAGTTTATTCAATAACTTAATAATGTTAAATGAAACATGCCCTAAGCGGCTATGCCATAAATCATAAGATGCACGAAGTCTTTTTAAGTCTCCCTTTTGCCAGTGGTTCCTTTGAAAGTCAATTATGAATGAGAAAGGTGTGGTCAGAAAATAAAACTTCAACAAAATTATCCTTGGTAAGTTTTCTAACAGAGAGCAATTTCTTTGTTAGATGAGGAACCACAAGAACATCAGATAAATTAATGTGAGGCGACAACTTAGAAAAACCAGTATGAGATATGGGAGAGACGTGCCCATTGCCAAACATGACAAGATCATTACCAGAATATGCAGAAGCTGAATCAAGGTGGGAAGAAGATGGCGACATATGTGAAGTAGCCCCAGTATCAACAAACCAGTCAGCAAAAGTATCTGAAACATTGCACTGAGCTTGAAAAGCCTATGCTAAGTTGATATAAAGAGTAGGAGATCGACGAGTAGCAAAGTTATTCAAATTTGGGCAGTAATTTGCATAATTGCCATCTTTGCGACATAATTGACAATTAGGGGGGAACGCCAACCATGTCCACGTCCTCGTGAAGAATTTCCACATGCTAATGAACAACCACATCCCCAAGTGGAGCTACAAGAGGTCGTAGTGTTGAAAGAAACCTATGAAACATTTGAACCAGACAAAGAATTAAGAAAAAGCTCATGACTTTCGACTTGAGAAACGAGATCAATGAATGAGGGGCGGGGCTAAATGAGACATTGAGTGGTGGAGAAATTCTCAAATGAAGAACCAAGGCCACGAAGAAACCAATGGATTTTATCAGTCTCATCAAGAGGATGACCAATAGAGGAAAGTTGGTCACAGATTCCCTTAAATTTCCGTCCAAATTTAGCAACAGTGGAAGAACCCTTTTTAATTTGGTTAAGAGAATCCCGTAGAGTGTGCATTCTTTCAAACAACTCATGGTTGTATGCAACCTCAAGAGCAAACTAAACCACATGAGAGGTCTTGTGATCGAGAATCTTAGCCATCGCCTCTTTAGAGAGGGATGACTGGAGTAGGATAAGAGCCTTTTGATCAGTGGCTAACCAGGTGAGATAAGTCGGATTTGGAGTAGGGGTAGAATTTGAAATCACAATTGTGGATGATGGTGCAGGAATCGAGCCATCAACATGGACAAGAAGCTTTTGGTAAGACAATAGGGGTAGGATCTACTTCTTCCATAATAGGTAACCGGAGGAAGTGAGTTTTATGGTAAGAAGATGAAGAAGAGTGGAGAGGGAAAAGGTGGAATTGGTTGAATCTCCTGTCATGGCAGAGAGAAAAAAAAAGTAACGAGAGAAGAAAATAGGGTCGGCCAGGAAGTTTTACGCTGATACCATATTAGGTATTGAGAATCAATGC